TCCTCAGGTCTACAGCCGCCGGGAAGATGCAACGTGCCCTGCCAGGCGCCCGCCAGCACTTGGGGGCCATCCTGGCCAGCGCCAGCGTGGTGGTGAAGGCTCTGTGTGCAGCGGTACTATTCCTCTACCTGCTCTCCTTCGCCGTGGACACAGGCTGCCTGGCGGTCACCCCGGGCTACCTCTTTCCCCCCAACTTCTGGATCTGGACCCTGGCCACCCATGGGCTGATGGAGCAGCATGTGTGGGACGTGGCCATCAGCCTGACCACGGTGGTGGTGGCTGGGCGTTTGCTGGAGCCCCTCTGGGGGGCCTTGGAGCTGCTCATCTTCTTCTCAGTGGTGAATGTGTCTGTAGGGCTGCTGGGGGCCTTCGCCTACCTCCTCACCTACATGGCTTCCTTCAACCTGGTCTACTTGTTCACTGTCCGTATCCACGGCGCCTTGGGCTTCCTAGGTGGTGTCCTGGTGGCACTCAAGCAAACCATGGGGGACTGTGTGGTCCTGCGAGTGCCCCAGGTGCGCGTCAGTGTGATGCCCATGCTGCTGCTGGCACTGCTGCTCCTGCTGCGGCTCGCCACACTGCTCCAGAGCCCAGCACTGGCTTCCTATGGCTTCGGATTGCTCTCCAGTTGGGTGTATCTTCGCTTCTACCAGCGCCACAGCCGGGGCCGAGGGGACATGGCTGACCATTTTGCTTTCGCCACTTTCTTCCCTGAGATCCTGCAGCCTGTGGTGGGGTTGCTGGCGAACTTGGTGCACGGCCTTCTGGTGAAGGTAAAGATATGCCAGAAGACGGTGAAGCGCTACGATGTGGGTGCCCCATCCTCCATCACCATCAGCCTGCCAGGCACAGACCCTCAAGACGCGGAGCGGAGAAGGTACTGTGAAATTTTCCAAAATCTTGTCAAGCTAGGAGCATACTGGTCGAGTCACATACCATCTGTTGAGGTGTTTGCCGTACATAGGTGGAGACCTACAGTCAGGTGTTGGGGCAGATCTGGAAAAATAAAATCAGTCTTTGGCCTTGAGGAACTCAGCAGTTAGGTGTCTGGGGTCCACGAGGCACTTTCCTCACCACTGTGGCCACCTAATAAGTCTCAAGAAATGCAGTTTCCTTTGGTGCTGTGAATGCCCAGTGGAGGTACACAGAACCCTGGCCTTGCCTCAGAATCTCAGAATCCTAGACATTGGGCCTGGGAGCCAGAAGCAACCTGCTGGTACTTTCCCTGTGAGGAAGGGACAGGGAAGGAGGCCTGGGGTCCTCGAAAGGTGATCTGGGCCACTCCAGTTTCCAAATGCTATGTCCTCTTCCTGGGCTTTAACTCAGATGCTGTGCTTCTCTGCCACTTATTTATCGAGAGGGAAGCTTGGGGTATTGCCACATTTACCTCCGTCTCCAGCAGGCATGTGTCACCAAAACCAGACACAGGCTACATGACCCACTGAGGGAGCCTGCTGACTACACCAGGGAGTGGTGATGACCCTTTCATTATCTATAAACCAAGCCATCCACAGCATCAGGAGTCCCAGCTGAATTCTTCACTAAATGCACTTTGGCCAGGGCAGGAGGGGTCTTTTTAAATTCAGCTCTTACTCTCTCTCCCAGATCTGTGGAGCTAGCAAAGTGGTCCCAGCTTTCACAAGATCCACAGCTCCATTTCCAACATTATTATTGAGTGTTTCGAGGCAATTACTTGAGTAGTAAAATCTGGGGCGGGCTTTGTCCTTTGCATTGCCAAGGCTCCTGCTTTTGCTCACCTGTGAATGGGGTCGTGGCAGAAAGCTCTATGAATTTAGCTGTAGTTATCCCTGTATTTATTCTCCACTGGGCTGTGGAATTGAGTGTGGGACACATTCCTTTCTTGAAGGAGTTCCAGCTGGGGAAGGGCCACCGATCACTATGGGCCCAAGGTGTGGTAGGTGTTGAAAACTATATACAGCATGCTGTAGAGCATAATTCTGGGCTCTAGAGCTTGGGTCTTTATAGGTGATAAGCCTTAAGGACAGAAGTCTCTCTTAACCTTAGCTGGTATTAAAGTTGGGGCCAGGAGAGCTGGGCCTGGTAGGAATTGCACTGTCCCCCAGAGCTATTCAGGTGGGGCCAGGCCAGTGGGGACCCCTCCTCCACAGAGAGGTGTTGGATTATTAGGGTTGGCTGGACATTCAAAAACCTCTGCCCAGGCCCAAGAAAATGGATGGGGGGGAAGCAGGTTGGTGGGGAGGAAGGGAGGGTCAAGAGGCGGGTTCTTGGCATAGCCTTATGGTTGTTAGCTTACATGGGGGTGGGGGTTATTCCTCCAGCCACTTTGACATCTGACTGCATGGCCACGCCCAACTCCAAAGGGCTACCAGGAGAGGGAGGCAGGGTTTCCTGTCTCTCTGGTCCTTGTGAGGAAGTGACTAGTGTGACACTCGCTCTCTGCCTTGGCAGGCTTTAGATGGAACTGGCAAGGGCATCACCAGGATGGGAGCCTGGGTAGCAGCAGGGAAGGACTGTCCTGTCTATGCCAACTTGTCACATGTGAGATTGACGGGCAGGGTGGAAGTGTGCTAGGGCTTTCTACACCCGTGTCCTTGTTGCCTCTTGTCATGTTCCCTGGCATGGTGTAGATTTTGGTTCTCAGCTGGAACCTGAAAGGCTACACGAGCTGTCCCCACATTGGTGGCACAGAGAGGCTGAGGCATAGGAGTCCACAGTGGTCACTGTTGAAACGGTTCCCTGGCAGCTGCGGCACTCCACCTTCTGGTCAGCCAGGGTCCCAAGCACATGTGTAAACCTTCTTCTGTTGGACTTTCCCACCTGCCCTCAAAGTGGGGCCCCTAAGGATACACCCTGTGGAAGCAGTAGGCTCTGGCCTGTGCCTACCCATGTGGGCTGTTTCTCCTTCTCCTCTTGCAAGGGCTCCTCGAAGTCCCTGCTCTAACAAGGGCCTTGGTGGCTTTGGGGGTTCTTCTGAGAGGGAGAATATTAGCGTCAGTTAGGATGGGTAGACTTACCCAGGTTGGCCCTGCTTCCTGGGCTGAGCGCCAAGGGAGGTGTTGAGTTCCAGCCTTCCCCATTGACCCTTGGCAGGAGGGTCAAGATACCCCTAACCAGGAGACGGGGAGAATTAATAACCCTTCCCTTGGATGTGATGCCCGCACCCAGGCAGAAACTCCTGGAAACTCCAAAACTTGCCGTTCCACCCATCTGCCCTAGGGCACTAGTTCCACCCACCCTTAGATACCTCCCTCAGAACCATTCCTGGTGGCTGGCCTGGTGGGCAGTCTGACAGACACCCAGCTGACCTTCTCACCCTGGAGGTGCCTCAGCTATGGAGGGAAGACTCTTAGAGCCTTTGGGTTATCATTCTGATGGCAGAGTGGGTCCTAAACCAATCTCTGGGGAGTCCCAGGCTCTGCATGGTGAAGGGGAAACATGGGATTCTGGGGGAGGAGTCTAGGTGGTACGGTGAGGAGTCAGCCTGCTGCAGAAGGGCAGAGAGCATGAGCCAAGGCCAAACCCAGAGTGACCTGTCCTCTCTCCTCTGGCCCCAGGCAACTGGCCCTGAAGGCACTCAATGAGCGGCTGAAGAGAGTGGAGGACCAGTCCGTCTGGCCCAGCATGGATGATGATGAAGAGGAGTCTGGGGCCAAGGTAGACAGCCCCCTGCCCTCAGACAAAGCTCCTACACCCCCAGGGAAGGGGGCTGCCCCAGAATCCAGTCTAATCACCTTCGAGGCAGCTCCCTCGACGCTGTAACTCCAGACCACCTTGAGTGTGGCACCTCCCCTCCTGAGCCCCCCTTGACATCCTCTCAGCTACTCCAGGGCACCTGACTGCTCTGAGGAGAGGGAAGAAGGCCTGCTGGGGCTTTCCATGGCCTTCTGCTGTTTCTCGCCAACACTACCCAGGACTCTTGCTACCTGGTTCCAACTCCAGACAACCACTATGCCAGGCCTGGAGCCTCTGAGGCATCGGCCAGTCCAGGTCCTCATCTGAGGTAAGAATGTACATCAGCTCCCAAGCAAGTGGCTGCAGGGACACTGATGCCACAGCTCCTGGGCCGGCCCTCACATCTGACACTGGTTGCCGAGAGCCCTGAGCCAAGGCAAGGATTTGCCAAAAATGTTCTGGGGGCCCAGCAAATGCAGGAGCCGACCTGGGGCTGCACATCCCTGCCCATCCACAGAAAGACTGTTCCTGTCAGGATTTGTTTTCCTCTGCTGTGGCCGTGACTGCTTCTGGACCAGAACAGCTTCAGCTCCCAGGTATTTTCTACAGGACCACTTTGAGTGGGCAGCCAAGCCCAGGCTCGCAGTATCAATAAAGCAGTTCTCTGATGAATGACTCCTGGGCTCTTGTCAGGCCACCTTGTGCAGCCCCTTCATCACGTTCAACTGCAAAGTTAGACAGGGACTTGATTGTCTCCATGGTAACTCCACCTGGATAGAGAAGCCCATTGCCCCAGCTCCCCACCACCGCCACCACCACATGCACACTGCCAAGTAACCTTCCAAGAGCTATTGCCTCCGACTCTTACTCCTTTTTTCTTTCCCTTCGAACCCCTATCTGGGAGGCCTTCTGTCCCTGCCTAGATCTGATAATAAGGGCCTCTCCATCATAAGGCGCTGTTCTTATCCATGGTTTACCTCTAAGACAGAATGTTCAGTGCTTGCCACCCCTAGAGACAACTCAGCCCCAGCTCCCATCCTGTTATTGTATGTATCTAACCCTCACAGTCTGGAGACTCCAGCACAGTGGACAGCCGGGGGACAGAAAGGACACACAGCTGTACCATTCACAGCTGCAGCTCTAGGGCCTGCCAGGGCCCAGAGTGGCCTGGGAGGCTCAGCAGCTAGATCCTGGGGATTTGTGTGCTGGGAGAGCTTCAGCCCCATAGGGAACAGCCAGGGATCGGAGGGGTCCCCATCTTGCCCAGCTGCCCATTTTCCCATGCTGATGGCATTAACAAGAACCATCCCCAACTCTGGGCTGCTTCTCCCATCAATCTTTTCAGTCATTTTTGTAAAAATTTTTACTTTTTTCTCTCCTGAAATTTCTGGACATACAGTACAAGTATGAGCTGCCTTGCAGGGGAGACAGTCTTGCAGACCTAGCTTCATCCAGACACATGATGCATAAGTTCCTCTGGGATGACGGAGAGAGGGGAAGGAAATGGGAGGCACTCCAGCATGAGGAGCAGGAATTCACATATGGGCCTCCAAATGCCCAACTGTCCCAGTGCCTGAGGTGTCCCCTGACTCAGCTGAGAGAGTTCAAGAGGTCCCTAGCCGCAGCTCCTACAGGGAGGGGCAAATCCAGGCTTCCCCTAGGCTGGGAAGAGCTCATGGTTGGATCCTCTTGCGGTATAGGTAGGCATTGCTCACCTGGTTCATAATGACCAAGCTGGTGAGGACAGGGCATAGTGCAGCCAGGTACCAGACTGCACCAGTGACAGAAGCAGTGAACCAGAGTGAGCACATGCCCAGCAAGAGGCTGGCACTACCCAGCAGGTAGCCCACCAGCCCAGAAGTAGCATGGTATAGCTTGAGCTTCGCCAGGGGCCATCGGGGCAGCAGCTTGGGGTAGAGCAGCCCCACCCCACCTGAGCATTGTAGCCCTGCCCACAGCACAGCCAGCAGCCCTGCCTGCCCATGCCGCGTAGCCAGGTGGGCTTTGCCAAGCTGCTCTTTGTGGAGGATGACAAGGCCGAGGCCCAGCAGTGCACACAGCAGGGCCAGCAGCTGCAGCACCCAGTGGCAGCGTGCTCGGCCCTTCCGTGAGAGGGAGCGCAGCAGCGAACTCTCAGGAGAAAACACCAGTAGTGCCTCGGTCATCAGGAAGGAGAACTGAGGAGACAGGGGATGGGAAGCTCAAGTGAGGGTGCTGCCCCAGAAGAGGGGAAGAGGGCTTTATGTAACCCTCAGCTGCCAGTGAGTCCTGGGCTGATTCCCCTTTTTCTTTCTCTCACCACTGACAAGACTATCCATTTGGTGGGGCAAGAGTGGAAAACCCCATCTGGGACGATATATGTGCCCTGAATAATCTCCACACTTCCTCCTAGGTGCCAGTCTGAAATGTCATCTGTGCTGTGTTACCAAGCAAACACAAGGTTTGAGATGTGGCAGTTATAAATGATTCACAAGCTTTGTTTCCCTAACGTGGGGCTGGATACAATTTCTTGGCAAAAGCTGGCCACACGGGTGCACTATTTCAGGGAAAGTTAGGTGCATCACCAGAAATTAAAAAGGGACAGAAGTACATCAAAATGCAATGTCTCAGCTTTCTGCCTAGAGGTGGGTGAAGCCTCGTGCTTAGACAAACCTTACCCATTTGACCTGGGTCTTAATTACTCTGATTCAAGTCTTTTTTTTTTTTTTTTGGAGATAGTCTCTGTCACCCAGGCTGGAGTGCAGTGGCATGATCTCAGCTCAATGCAATCTCCGCCTTCTGGGTTCAAGCGATTCTCCTGCCTCAGGCTCCTGAGTAACTGGGATTACAGGCATCTGCCACCACACCCAGCTAATTTTTTTTTTGTGGGGGGGGGTGGTTTTTTGGTTTTTTTGAGATGGAGCCTCGCACTGTCGCCTAGGTTAGAGTGCAGTGGCGCAATCTTGGCTCACTGCAACTTCCATCTCCTGGGTTCATGTGATTCTCCTGCCTCTCCTCCCGAGCTGGGACTACAGGAGCGTGCTACCACGCCCGGCTAATTTTTTGTATTTTTAGTAGAGACGGGGTTTCACCGTGTTAGCCAGGATGGTCTCGATCTCCTGACCTCAGGTGATGTGCCCGCCTCGGCCTCCCAAAGTGCTGGGATTACAGGCATGAGCCACCGTGCCTGGCCTCAAGTCTCAGATATATACCATGGGCAGGAGTATTTGGAGCATGCAACTCTTCCAAACAAACATTAAATGTAGACAAAGATCCAGAGGCTGCCAGGGCCACCAACCATGCCCATGCTCCCACCCCTAAGAACTGCCCAGGTCCACTACTTACAGCCAGAGACATAAGCACCGGGTGCCAGGAGAACAGGCCTGGAATGAGAAGAGGAAGCCTCATGGGGCTGAGGCAAGAAGAAACCAGCCATACCAATCCTTAAGGGTTGAGAAATACCAGCGGCCCATCACCCAAGGAGGTGCTGCCAAACTGTGAGCCCCCTCTTGCTCTGCAACAAGCTGACCCCACACCTATCCTCTCTTCCTGGCCCCTTCCTGGATCAGAGGCCATGCTTTGCCACTCCTCTGGCAGTCCTCCCTCCTTCCCTTACACTTCCTGAGAACCAGCCAAAGGGAGCACCCAGACGAGGAAAGACAAACCAGGAATTCTGTGTGCCCTGGCCACACCTACCTGCTCCACCCCACTCATCGCTCCGGCACCGAATTCCCTCAGCCAGCCAGGCCTGTTACGGGAGTCCCACTGCCCTTCCTCCCCAGGAAAAGCGGCCCTTTCCTTCCCAGAAGTCAGCTATGAATTCTACTTACTGGAGCCAGGCCTGGCAAGCACAGCCACAAAGATGGTAAAGCCCAGGGCCACAAGGTGGGCGGCAGCTCCAGAAGCAGTACGCAGAGCTCGGTAGATGTGTGACTCGGTCTCCGCAGAAAGGGCCATGGTCAGCCGTGCCAGTGGTTGTAGCCTGAAAGCATAGTAGCGAGGGCCAGGGTCTCAGGTGCCCACTGTTCACTCCTCACTGGAGAAAAGGCTGCAAGGCAGGCATGCCACCCTTTTCCAATAAGTTATGATAGGAAAGAACAGTACCAAGACCAGCACCAGGAATGATCACAACATGCCAGTCGAGGGACGGCGGCCTGTCAGCGTGTACTCATCTGAACTGGTACCAAACGCTGGCCCGCCTTCCAGGTAGGATGCGAAAAGCCATGTAAGACTACAAATCCCAGCGTGTACCACGCCGTCGCCGGCAGTAGAGCCCGCTGGGAAGGCGCGGGGCACTATGGAAATTGTAGTTCCCTGCTACGGTCCCAGTTACAGCGTGAATCCCTTAGCGCACCGCCTCCCCAAGTGCTGCGGGCATGCTGCCCCTCTACGCTAGGGACTTGCCTGCCTCAGCCGCAGCGCAGATCTGATGCGGTTGTTTCCCCCAAAGAAAGCGGGATACTCCGGGTCCTGCCGTGCGCACCGCCGCTCCGTCGCGGAGCCGCTTTACTTCCGGGTGCGACGTCTACGCACCCAGGACTTCCTGGGACGAGCCCCCCAGCAGCCACGCCTCTGAGTCGGGCTGCGCAGGCGCCGCTGGGCAGAGGGATTCGCGAGCCTGCGTGCCCCAGCGACACGGGCTTCGGCGCTGTCTGTGACAAGTGTTCACAGGAGGTGGGGACGCCCCTGCGCGACGAACGAGGAGCTACGGGCCTGGGCCTGGCTATTGCCATGGGCAGCGGCTGCCGCATCGAATGCATATTCTTCAGCGAGTTCCACCCCACGCTGGGACCCAAGATCACCTATCAGGTGCCACCCGGACTTGCGGGACTGGGCGGGGAGAGGGACGTTCTCGAGAGCTCAACCGGCTGCCTAAAGGCGGTAGTTTCCCGTGCTGTACGCAGGCATGCTACTTCATTCGCAGACAACTGTGAGGCTAGAGGATAGTCAGACCCAGGCCCCCCGGCTCCCAGTGTGACAGGGAAGACATACGTCACATTGGCAGTGTTTGTAGGATATTGGGCTGTAGGGATCCGGTTGAGGGGTTCCAGGTCCCACAAAAGGTGAGGTGGGTGACCCATGAGTATCCCTGAACTGAGTGAAGAGTAAATGATGCATAGGAAGTTTAGATAAGGGAGGAGAAAGTGTTCCAGGTAGAGCAAATATGCAGAAGCCAGGAAGGAGGTGAGATCATAGCGCGTGTTTGGAAACAGAAAGAATAGGCCTGAGTGGGTGGGAGAGAGGGGAACGCTGGACAAGAGGACTTGGGCTTGGGAGGCATGAGGAGGTCACCATTTGTACTACACCGAGTACAGATGTCCACTGAGGGGCCCATTGCCACTCCCCTTCCCAGGTCCCTGAAGACTTTATCTCCCGAGAGCTGTTTGACACAGTCCAAGTGTACATCATCACCAAGCCAGAGCTGCAGAACAAGCTTATCACTGTGTGAGGCCCTAGCTCGGGGTGAGCGGTGGGCAGCAGGGGTTGTCCCAGGAGGAGGAAGGGACAGGCTTGGGGCCCTGACTCTGTTCCAATTATCTAGCACAGCCATGGAAAAGAAGCTGATCGGCTGTCCTGTGTGCATCGAACACAAGAAGTACAGCCGCAATGCCCTCCTCTTCAACCTGGGCTTCGTGTGTGATGCCCAGGCCAAGACCTGCGCCCTCGAGCCCATTGTTAAAAAGCTGGCTGGCTATCTGACCACACTAGAGGTCTGCAATGAGATGAGCTTGGGTTTACGGACAGTTGGGGAAGGTGTTCCCATGTCTCCTAAGTCCCCCAAACCTGAGACCCTGGCAACCAGCTCAGGACTCAGGGCAGCCAACCAGCCAGGGGTCCTGGGATGTGCCCACCATGCTGTCCATGCTCTATCTAGCTAGAGAGCAGCTTCGTGTCCACGGAGGAGAGCAAGCAGAAGTTGGTGCCCATCATGACCATCTTGCTGGAGGAGCTAAATGCCTCGGGCCGGTGCACTCTGCCCATTGGTATGGCCAGCCTCTGCAAGGACAGCAGAAGGGTAGAGGAGAGATGGGAAAGTGAGCCCAGCCAGTCAGGGAGAAGGACAAGACTCATGAACACATTGGTGGGCAGGAAATAGCCATGGGCTGAGGTGCCCATGTCCAGGGTCCAATGCATGATGGAGCTGGGACTGGGGGTAGGGGGGAAGCGGAGCTCTCCAGCTCTGCCCCTTGGGCAATTCCTTCCTCTTTGTGGGCCTCAGTTTCTCACTTCATAAAAAGAGAAAGATTAGCCCTACCCAGAGGCACCTGCTTGCCCCAAGGGATGCTGGGAGGCCTGGATGGTAATTGAGGGCCTCTTGGAAGAAGTGGCACTGAGGATATGGATGGGACCCCCTGCAGATGAGTCCAACACCATCCACTTGAAGGTGATTGAGCAGCGGCCAGACCCTCCGGTGGCCCAGGAGTATGATGTACCTGTCTTTACCAAAGACAAGGAGGATTTCTTCAACTCACAGTGGGACCTCACTACACAACAAGTATGCCATCCCTCCCTGGGTATCATCACCTGGGGCTGGCCACAGCGCTGGCCTCATCCTGTTCCTCTGACCTTGTCCTACTCTGCCCAGATCCTGCCCTACATTGATGGGTTCCGCCACGTCCAGAAGATTTCAGCAGAGGCAGACGTGGAGCTCAACCTGGTGCGCATTGCTATCCAGAACCTGCTGTGAGTGGGCCTACAGTCATACCCGGTACAAGGTCACCAGCCAGGGAAGAGCTCAGGGGCCCTGGGTGTGAGGGTTGGGAAGGCATGGTCCTCAGAAGCTGAGCACAACTCTCTCTCTCAGGTACTATGGCGTTGTGACACTGGTGTCCATCCTCCAGGTAGGTGAGTTGGGTTTGGTTAAGTGGAGAGTGGACCATGTGACTGGACCAGACCAGGGCTGTGTCACCTTCCCAAGCCCCTCACTCAGGCCCCTGTGCCTTCTGCTACCCTCTAGTACTCCAATGTATACTGCCCAACGCCCAAGGTCCAGGACCTGGTAGATGACAAGTCCCTGCAGGAGGCATGTCTATCCTACGTGACCAAGCAAGGTAGTGGTGGGCTCTGGGGGAAGCCATCTTGGGGAGGGCAGGGCCACATGGTGAACTGATCCCTGGCACCCACAGGGCACAAGAGGGCCAGTCTCCGGGATGTGTTCCAGCTATACTGCAGCCTGAGCCCTGGCACTACTGTGCGAGACCTCATTGGCCGCCACCCCCAGCAGCTGCAGCACGTTGATGAACGGTCAGAGGAGAATTCGCTGGGGCATTTGGGAGTTACCTGAGGAAAGCTAGACCCTTTATGTCTCTCAGGAGCCCTGGGTCATGGGGCACTGCAATCCAAGCAGGCTTCCTGGAGATGATGGGCTACAAAGAAAAAATTGAAGGGACACTACAGGAAAGGGTTCGCCTGCCTGAAAGAAGGCCTGGCCAGGGCGTCACCCCTCTGTCCTCTGATCCTCACCCTAGGAAGCTGATCCAGTTCGGGCTTATGAAGAACCTCATCAGGCGACTACAGAAGTATCCTGTGCGGGTGTCTCGGGAAGAGCAGAGCCACCCTGCCCGGCTTTATACAGGCTGCCACAGCTATGACGAGATCTGCTGCAAGACAGGTGGAGGCAGGCGGGCAGTCAGGGTGGGGTCAGGGCAGGGTGGCCAGGCCAAGGCCACTGACCTCTCCTCCACCACCCCACCCAGGCATGAGCTACCATGAGCTGGATGAGCGGCTTGAAAATGACCCCAACATCATCATCTGCTGGAAGTGAGGCTGGTGGTGGCTGGATGGACACATCGCTGTGGGTAGTCCCTCCTACCAGGAGGCTTGTCATACTGTCTAGAGCTTGACTCTTAGTTCTGTAAATAAAGACATCCATTTCAAACAGCCTTTATTGAGTGCTGCTTCTGGGCCAGCCACCGGAGACCCAGCGGTGAATGAAATAGCCACGAGCTGTGCTCTAGATCGCCATCTGGTGGGCAGGACCAAGAATCGACAAGTAAAAGTGCCGGTTAATTACAAAAAAAAAAAAAAAATCATCCGGTCGCGGTGACTCACCTGTAGCCCCAGTTACTCAGGAGGCTGAAGTGGGGGGATCACTTGAGGCCAGGAGTTGGAGGCTACATTTAGCTGTGATCCCATCACTGCACCCCAGCCTGGGTGATAGAGCAAGACCCCATCTCAATAATAATAATAATAATAAACCTAGAAAGAAACAGATGTAGCTGGGTGCTGTGGCTCATACCTATAATCCCAGCACTTCGGGAGGCTGAGGCAGGTAGATCACCTGAGGTCAGATGGTCAAGAACAACCTGGCCAACATAGTGAAACCCCATCTCCACTAAAAAAATATAAAAAATTAGCCAGGTGTGGTGGTGCGCACCTGTAATCCCAGCTACTCAGGAAGCTGAGGCAAGAGAATCACTTGAACCTGGGAGGCAGAGGTTGCAGTGAGCCGAGATCATGCCACTGCACTCCAGCCTAGGTGACAGGAGACTCAATCTCAAAAAAAGGAACAGATGTGATCAAGAGTGAGTTGGGAGGTCAAGGCAGGTGGATCACGAGGTCAGGAGTTCAAGACCAGCCTGGCCAAGGTGGTGAAACCCTGTCTCTACTAAAAATACAAAAAACCGCGTGTGTGGCGGGTGCCTGTAATCCCAGCTACTTGGGAGGCTGAGGCAGAGAATGGCTTGAACCCAGGAGGTGAAAGTTGCAGTGAGTGAGACCACACCACTGCACTCCAGCCTGGGTGACAGACTGAGACTCTCAAAAAAAAAAAAAAAAAAAAGTGGGTTGGAGGCAGGGACTGCTCTGGATTAAACGGCCAAGAAAGGCCATACTGAGATGTAAACTGAGCCCTGAAGGAAGAGTATTCCAGGCAAAGTGCAAAATCCTGAGGCAAAAACCTCTTTGGAATGTATGAGGTAGGTCCAGGGAAGCAAGGAGGAGAGGAAAGAATCCAAGTCCCGAGGTACAAGACAGGCAAGAAGTAGGTCTTGCAGAGCTGCTGGTAAGCAGCACCCGACCTAGCATTTTGAGGGCCAGAGGTAGTTGCAGAGCCCCTCTCATGCGAGGGAATGATGTCTATACACTTTTTTTTTTTTTTTTTTTTTTTTTGAGACAGAGTCTCCCTTTGTTGTCCAAGCTGGAGTGCAGTGGTGGAATCTTGCCTCACTGCAAACTCCGCCTCCTGTGCTCAAGCGATTCTCCTGCCTCAGTCTCCCGAGTAGCTGGGACAACTGGTGTGTGCTACCACACCTGTCTAATTTTTTTTTTTTTGAGACGGAGTCTCGCTCTGTGGCCCAGGCTGGAGTGCAGTGGCCCAATCTCAGCTCACTGCAAGCTCCGCCTCCCGGGTTTACGCCATTCTCCTGCCTCAGCCTCCCAAGTAGCTGGGACTACA